AGCCACCATGTGGGTGCTGGGAATTGAACCCAGGTCCTCTGCAAGAGCAGTCAGTGCTCTTAACTGCTGAGCCATCTCTCCAGCCCCTCAATGATACTTTTAAATTTTCCTTTCACATTCTCTAATGGTTGGTTAACAATTCCATGTATTAATCCTTCTGCTTCTTGTCATCTGACTAGACTGTAACTGAACTCTGGTTTTGTTTCCTGGGTTATATTGTGACTCACATGCATATGAATCCAATAGTTACCAAATATGATGTACACTTAATACATGTTAGCTAAAAATAAATTTTTAAATGCTCCCTTCTTGGGATTGAGTGAGAAAGAATTGATGTGTTGGGCATTCATGGTGTAGAGGACGCCTGTGACATTCATGGATGGGGTGCATTCTAGAGAGAGCTGTGTGGTACTGTCTTAGAACCTCTTCAGATGAGGGCATGGTTCTACAAAGGGGGACATGTGTTTTATATGGAATCATAAGAAACCTAACTACCAGCGTCATTAATTTAAATCAAATAGAGAACACAAACAACTAGGAGCTTCCTTGAATATGAAAGCACCAAATGGAAAAGTCACCTATGAACACATTTTAATAGGCAGAATAAATGCAAGAGCAGCTAACTTAAGTGCCAGTGAACCGTGGAATTTTCAAGTTTCTGCCTCTCTCTCCTTGAGGAGTAGCCAGAGACCACTGTTGGCAAGTGAGGAATGGGAGAAAAAAATAAAAGGTGAAATTCTGAATGCTAGACAGCTGGATGCACATGAGAATGGACATTTTACTATTGATCAGAGGATACTTTATTTACTCTCTGGATATGGCCCCAAAATTCAGAGAACTGATTCTCAATGTTGGATTTGAAAGAACTAGCTGCACTCAATACATTTAAAAGGAAAACAGTCAAATACTTATTTTCTGGTCTCCTTTTATTTTCTAGGCTTACTAGAACCTACTGTGTAAACCTGAGATTTCTTAGAAGGTGCTGAGCATCACTCATATAGTGCCTGCGCATAAATCTCCAGGTAACATGTACTACTGGAGTGAAAATTGGCCTGCTAAGTTGCTGAGTTCATTTTTAGCTTAAAAAGTACATGGTTTAATTTTACCAGTCATTAAAGACCTCAGGACATTTGAACCTCCCTGAGGAATTTTCTGACACAAAGTCAGCATCAGTGTTCTCTCTCCTTGGTACATAGTGTGAGATACAAAAGTGACAGGCATGAATTTGCTTTAGCAGACAGAAGGACATGTTCTGAGGGAACTCTCATCTGCCTGTCTTCTGGTGAGTTCTGAACCTTTATGGGGGTGAGAAAGCTGATCTCCTAGATCCTGCTCCAAAAGACTGGTAAACTGGGGAAGAGGTAGGTGAGAGAGAGGTAGGAGAGACTAAGTAGAGGGTTCTGGCAGCAGGGTTCTGGAGGTGAAAATATCAGGAGTGAAAAGTTCTAGAATTGCCACTCATTTCGTAATCCCGATGCTTCTCCAAATAATTGATTTTTCTATGGTCACTTTCTAAGCTTCAAATGTCAAAGTCACTAAGATTTAGCAGTGGTCACAAATTCAGGTAGCGAAGCAGGAATCAGGGCTTTAAGAATATTCACTATTTGTGACTCTGAAAACTTAAGCACACATAATATAGCTTACTCTTAGCTTTTGAATTCTGAATTTGCAAAATTCTCCAGGACATTTAAAAGAATAGCAGAAATCCATTAGCCATAACTTCCAGTAAGCTATAAATACCTACCTATTTATTTATGCTCTAGATTGAAATTTATATTCTTTAAGTGAACCTTTCTGTAAACCATGACTACCTTGTTTCTCACTCCTTGATAGACCTTTGCAAATATTCATAGATATTCGTTGCTTAACCAGAGATTAAGAAACATTAAAAAATCAGAGCCATAATGGATCTCTTCAATAAAAGAGTCATAAATTAGATAGCTGTATTTTCTTCCCAGTCAGTATGTACCTGAACAGGGGATAAACCCAAGCACTTTTGACTTCCCACTCCAGGATGCCCTCCCCTTACCACCTTAACTCCTGTATGACCTCAGTAACATAAAGATTCTGGTTTCAGGAGCAAAAGAAATTGATTTCAACCTTGGAGTCATGCCTTTTGCATCATTTTTTCCCCATGTATCTGCCTGAGTCACTTACTCAACTTGTTCAAGGGTATCTGAGAAACCTCTTCCAGAGATGCATAACAAGTTTCTATTTTCTCCCTCCTCTCCAATGCCTTAGTGATGCCTCAAAGTCCTGAGTAGAACAGTAAACAACCTTACAGATCTCTGTGCAGACTGTGATTGTATCATCTAGTCACCAGGATCTGTAGAGCACACTACTATCACTGAGCCTGTTTCCATAGCTGTAAAGGATTAACTGTGCAGTCACCTGAGACATTCTCTGCAGGGTACCAGGCACATAGCATAGATGGCATACAAATGTTCGTTATTCACTGTCTACATTTCTTTATTCACGAACACCCAGACTATATATAATCTCAGTGGTACCAGATCAAAGAAGGAGTGTAATCTGAGGTCTAAAGGTATCGTTTTTCACCAAATTTCTAAAACTTGGGTTCCCAGACTCAGGATGACTTTGTCCCGTCCTAGAGCACAAGAATCTTGCTTTAAACCTTTCTTCTCCCTTCTCTTTCTCTTCCCTTTATATTAACTCTGTTATTGTCTTTGTTTTCTATGTCTCTGTGAAGAAATGGGTGAGGCACGATGACACTCATCTGTATTTTAAGCACTCACAAGGCTTAGAGGAACAGACAGCAGGACCATAAGTTCAAGAAATCCTGGGCTACAAAAACAAAATACTGATATAGTCATATGGGAGAAACAAAGACCAAGCCAAGGTGGCCTGTCCTGGATTTCAAAGAATCAGTCCTTAAGGGGCACAGGTACACATTGACTGAATGCCAAAATTAGAAGAGGCGATCATTGCAAACACAGATGGTTGGCCACTGACTTGCTGGGAACCATAGTACATGTGAGTTCTTTAGTGTCCAGGGAAATTAGGAAAGTACTTCCTAAAGTGGAATGCTTCATGGCACAGTCACACCATCTCATTGACTTAGCTATTAATACTTTGGCTCCTGGGTTCCTGTCCTCATCCTCTCTTATCAGAGAGAACATTCACAGCATGGCCTGCCCTTGCTTAGTTAGAGGCTGGAAAGGAAGGAAACAGAGAAGATGGTGATATGCATTTCTGACAGAACTGAGGGCCAACGCCAACACTCCTGACCCCAGGCCCTAAAACACATTGGATCCCACATGACTTCTGTGACCTAAATGTTCTGGGTGCCAAGAGAAAAAGAACCTAAGTCCATCTCTGAATCGATTTCTGGACGTCTCCCAGAAGAGGTATTCTAAAACCCCCAAATAGGCCAACCAGGTGAGAAGCCTTCCAGCGTTATCTATCCTCACCACCTTGAAAAAATGAACATGAAACTTTTTCAAAACATTTGAATTTTAGAATAAACAATATAATCATTCTTACAGAGAAAGGGCTATAAGAATGAAGTCATCTGTAAAGCAGTATTAAGACATCTTACAGAAAATAGCAATGCACGAAGGTTAAAATAAAATGTCCTGTGGAAGGAACTCAGTACAGTGCATAACCTCCAAGCATGTGGCTAGAAATATGTGACTAAAACCCTGTGTGCACATACATGTGAGTGTGGCTGCACATATAAATGCTGCCTGTGTGTCAAGTGAACTGCAAATACAAACAGGACAGGAAATATTCCTCACTACAGCGTGAAGGTCAAGAAAGAGTGTGGGAACATGTCTGTGATAAGCCTAAAACTGTGAGGGTGGAGTGTGTGCTTCGTTGGACATGAACGGAATTCAGCATAAGGCTAATGTGAGTGGCATGATGTGTCTTTATGAATAATGGTTATTTTGAGGGTACATATTCAGGAGTGGAAGTTTGTACTTGGAACAATGCCCTTCTATGCTCTGAAGGGTAATGTACCTATAGAATATTCAGGATTCATATTTTTTACAAAAATATGATCATTATTCACACAGATATATATGTAGGTTTGGGTTATTTTTTATTGCTGCTCTTTTTGCAGTGACTTTGCAGAAACAGATTTTCAAATGTGGTCAACTACCTCAGCACTCTCCGGTCCCTTCTCACATCCCAAGCACCCATTATGTTTAAAGCTAATTCAGGGGAATTGTGTTCATAATTAATGACACATATGAACTAAACAATGTTTTCAAAGAAATATTTAGTACTTCTCTCCAACACCTCATTTCCATCTGCAACAAATATGTCTTTGAATTACGGTTAACACATTTTTCAAGAACGTGCTTCTAAAGTGCATGAAAGATACGGGTGATATGGTGGAGACACTTTCCTCATAGCAAATGGGTATTTCTGAAGTATTATGCAATGTCTTTCCTCCATAAAACAGAGAGAAATATTATACTGGTCTACAGTCTGATGATCCTAAAATATCAGGAAATGAAGTTTGCCTGAATCATCCCCAAACCAGTGATTCCATGAACACACCGAGTTCCAGTTCTGGAAACAGCCTCATTGGATCTCCTAAATCCTGGTTTCTTGTCCTCTACTAGGTACAGTTCTTAGAATTCTGCAAGTGAGATGATTTGACACGGAGGAGTGTCCCATGTTCTTCCTGTTATGGGGCTATTCAATGTGACTCACCCTGCTTCCTTCCTCCTAACTGGAATTCCTGGTCTGGAGAGCCTTCACCCCTGGCTGGCCGGGCCCCTCTGTGTGATGTATGCTGTGGCCCTTGGGGGAAACACTCTGATCCTGCAGGCTGTGCAAGTGGAACCCACCCTCCACTTTCTGTCCATGCTGTCTTTTAGCGACACGGCCATGTCGATGGCCACACTGCCCACTGTGCTCAGAACCTTTTGCTTGGATGCCCGCAGAATCGCCTTTGATGCCTGCCTAATCCAGATGTTCCTCATTCTTTCTTTCTCCATGATGGAGTCGGGTATTCTGTTGGCCATGAGCTTTGACCGCTATGTGGCCATTTGTGATCCCTTACGCTATGCCACTGTGCTCACCAATGAATTCATTGCTGGGATGGGACTGACTGTGACCGCTCGAAGCTTCATCACACTCTTCCCTCTGCCCTTCCTCATCAAGAGGCTGCCTGTCTGCAGATCCAGTGTTCTTTCCCACTCCTATTGCTTACACCCAGATATGATGAAGCTTTCCTGTGCTGATATCACCATCAACAGCATCTATGGGCTCTTTGTTCTTGCGTCCACCTTTGGCATGGACCTGCTTTTTATCTTCCTCTCTTATGTGTTCATTCTGTGTTCCGTTATGGCCATTGCTTCCCATGAGGAACGCCTCAAAGCTCTCAACACATGTGTGTCACATATCCTGGCTGTACTTGCATTTTATGTGCCAATGATAGGGGTCTCTATAGTCCACCGATTTGGGAAGCAGGTCCCACGATATGTACATGTCCTCATGTCCAATGTCTACCTCTTTGTGCCTCCTGTGCTCAACCCTCTCATTTACAGTGCCAAAACAAAGGAAATCCGCCGTGCCATCTTCAGTCTCAAAATGTGACTGTCACATCTTGCCTTAAGATCTCATGCTTACAGTCCCCACTAGTTCTTGTGATGATGTCATCAATATGATCACCACTTTCAGCATAGGCATCATCATCATTATTAAGAAAGATAAATAGATGAGGGGAAAGTTATGAGGCTAGAAACGGAGACACAAAACTTCAAACACAAAATAAGGTATTACAAATCCATATTTAAATCAACTTCCATTGCTGTCTTCAGTAAGGTAAATATTGGAAACAGCTTGGTAATTAGGTGAAGATTTTCAGATATATTCTAGAAATTATTTTCTAATGATGAATTTTCCTATTGTAATAATTAATTTCGCCAGTACTTAAATGTGCCATGTTTTAGTCTAAATTCATTTTTAACTTTTATATTTACTTATTTTTATTTTATCTGTATGAGTGTTATGTCTGCATGTATGTAAGTGCAACTGTGTCATGCAGTGTCCACAGAGGACAGAAGACATTGGATATCCTGGAACTGGCGTTATGGACTGTTGTTAGCCACCATGTGGGTGCTAGGACTCAAACCCAGGTCTTCAGCAAGAGCAGCCAGTGCTCTTAACCTCTGAGCCATCTTTCCAGTCCCTACTCTAAATTATGTGCATTATCTCACTTAATCTTCATGCTTATCACATGAGGCAGAGAAAATTAGCTGCCCAGACTTGCATAGATAATATTTTAGGTGAAATTTGATGTCTGCTTCCCATATTACTGAGGTAGCCAATGATGCAAATGTTGATTCATTATCTGCTCTGCACTGTTATCCTGGTCTTTCCAACCCACCACTCTCACATATTCATGAGCTACTTTAACATCACAAAGTGACTTCTGCTGTACTCTCAGAATTCACTACAAAAACGAATGAACAAGGCCCAGGAAAAGTGACAGTTGCTGACATTTAGAGAACTTTCCAGTTCTTCCTACTTATTTTATCTTCAGTCCATTCATCTTTTTCCAAGAAAGACCTGCTCAACATGTAATACGTTTGAGCATAAGCCATCTAGCTCCTTCCAGACAGCTGTGCAGAGCATTTGCTCCAACCTACATTTAGATCTCTTGGAAACAAACAGCTTATAAAGTCAAGAGCTATTTTATGAATTTTCATTTTCCTGATCTCAAGCCACAAATCAAGAATTATTGCCAAGGAACTGCTCTCTGGAGAGGAAGAAGGCTGTCACACAAGCAGCCACTGGACATAAATGCCAAAAACCAGGATACTGTTTCACAGTTTGCTTACACTAGGGGTCTGTGGGCGTAGTGTTCTGTTCATGTTTATAAAAGATTCTGACCTTTTCTTTCATTATATATGGGAGGATGTATTCATCAAATAGATGTAAGAAAATGAATGAAATAAATTAACAATTGAGCAAATATTTAATTTACTGATTTGATTTGAGGATATGTAATTCACATATCAGCTCACAGCACTTTAACATTTGCCATTTCATTGTAATTTGCATATGCATCCAATGCTCTTCAAAGGTAAGGTTAAGACTTCCTAGAAATCTCTAAAGGTATGATTCATTCACCCAAACACTGGTGCATGGCAAGCTTCCAGGATGAGGAGGTAACAATCAATGGAATGACAAAAGGTGGAGCTGGGTACCGGACAGCCTCAGTCTTCTGTCCTTTGTGTCCAGCAGTCTTGCTCTAGACGTTCTCCCTAGGGTATTGCTCAGCCTTCATTCCTCGTAGCAGAAATAGTAATTATCATTCTTTATTCAATACCAGCTCTACAACAATGTGGAAAGTTTTCAAGGAGGTGATTCTGGTGGCAAAGTACAATACTTCTCAGCTTCGAGCTTTTATTTTAAGGAATGTAACAGCTCATTCATTTATTTATCCACTTAACGATGCCTATCAGGACTTACCATGTACCAAATGTGGTACTAGGTGAGTGACTACATGATTTAGTCATTGGAGATCGGGGGGAGCGAATCTACCTGAAAATTGATGGGAGGAATGTGGCCCGTCAACATCACCAATTATTTCTTTTACTGTCTGCACACTCCTTTTTCTTCTTTTCTTTTTTATTATCACGTATTAATTGCTTTTAGAAGTGGCGTTCAGTGTGATATTTCAATACATGCATACAGAATGCCTTGATCAAATCCTGTCTTTCTTTACTCGGCCTCCCTTTCCCAACCTCTACAATCACTGGTCTATATCCAGGTCAACTTCTCAAAGTGTGCCTAAGAGAAGAACGTCTGATATTTGTTTTTCATGTTGAGTGCCTGTATTATGATGGAAAGGCATCACTGATGGACATGTGGTAAATGTTCATGTGAGGTGTGTGAGGGCACACAAAGACTGAGTACAAGGCTCTATATTTAAGATAAATACAAGCTAGGAGAAACAAGATTTCTGGTGCTGGGAACTAAACCCAGAGCCTGAGGCATGCTAGGCAAGCACTCTAACACTGAGCTATTATCCCCAGTTCTTTATTGGTCTTAATAGCCAAACCTATGATCTTTGAGACAAATTCTCCTATAAATGTTGAGCAGTTTAGAGCCTAATATATGGGCAAGTGATTTTTTTCTGTATTGGACACAATACTATGAAAACCAAAACCATCCCATGACCTTAAGAAAAGCCAAATTTTGAAAATGTAGAAAGGTAAGTGAAATAAATCTGAAATTCCTACGGAGGAGATATAGTCAAAAACCCCTATGTAAGTGAGATATAGCTACTAAACTTGAAGTGTTTATGCAACAGTTATTCAACAAGAAGGGAGATTTGTTACTATGTTCAATAGGAAACACAGCTCAGTGTTTAGAATCCAAATGTCCAAAAGAACATTTACAGTGCAGTATGTAATACTGAGGCCAACTGGGGACAGGAGGCTGACCATCCTGACCCTCCTCATCTTTCGGCTCAACACTGCCACTGGGCAGCATGTCTACCTCATTGCGTGAGGTCAGATGAAGACTATCATTCACAACTATTTGCTGAGATAAAGGTCCAGTTGGCCACAGGCGATGACCCCTGGAATCCATCCAACTCCCTCATGTCTGAGATCGCTGACCTCACCTACAATGCCTTGGCCTTCTCAGAGATCATGAGCATAATCTGGAAGTGGCTCAATGATCCCGACAAAAACTGGAGGCACATGTACAAGCCATGACACTGATGGAGTACCTCACCAAGCCTGGATCTGAGCATATTTCACAGCAGTGTAAGAACATGTATGCTATGCAGATGCAGAAGGACTTCCAGGGTGTGCACTGTGACTGCAAGGACCAAGGCATGAAGGTGCAGCCAATCAGCTGGTGACTTTGCTTTATGATGAAGTCCGGCTTTGGGAAGAGCTGCTGACGCACTCTGTGGGCTCTGGACCCCCGTCTGAGGGGGTACGCGGCCTGGCCCCAGAACAGCCGGCCAGAGAAACTGCAGCTCCAGCTGCTCTGGCCAAGAGCAAGGAGGAGCCTGATCAGCCCAGGTCCTGCAGCCGGGAGGATGGTGTTTAGCTCTAACTGGCCCTTAGTTTGAACTGAGGCGAGCATAAGGAAGGGTAGATTTGTCCTGGGGATGACCTGAGTCTGCAGATGGTCATAGACGAGAGCCAGGGGGAGGCTGAGAGCTAGGAGTTGCCTCTCAGGGAACTTGCTGACATCTTTACAGCCCCAGCCCCTCCACAGATCCCATCAGTGGACTCCCAGTTTCTGATCCCTGGACCTTCTCAGACCCCTGGGAGATTCACCTGCCAAGCCCAGCACCAATGGCACTGCAGCAGTTGGGGGCTTTGGCACAGAGCCTGATGAGTTCTCAGACTTCCCCCAACCCCAGCCTGCCCTACTAACCCTTGGGAGCTGCACAAGGCAGTTGGAGTTGCTCACAGGAGAGTTGCCTGCCTACAGCCTGGGACCTTTGACTGGAGTGGGATTGGTGGGCTTCTGGTTGAGGCTGTAGGGAGTCCCCCACCTGCTGCCACCCCAACTTTCACTTCTCCAGCACAGAAAACTCCACAGTCATTCCTGGGGCCTAACGCAGCAACTCTTGTGGACCTGGACTCTCAGGGGAACTGGTCAGGCACCACACCACCAGGAGTCAAGGCTTCCAACCCATTCTTGCTGTGCTGGATAGCTTTAGTGTCAACTTGACACTCCTGGGTTGAGGGAGCCTCAATTGGGGAATTTCCTTCATTGGGTTGGCCTGTGGCCATGTTCATGGGGCACCTTCTTGATTGTTGAGTGATGTGGGAGGGCCCAGACTGCTGTGGGTGATGCCACCCCTGGACAGGTGTGCCTGTGTTGCATAAGAAAACAGGCCGAGCAGGGACCAAGGGAACAAGCCAGTAAGCAGCATTCTTCCATGGCCTGTGCTCCAGCTCCTGCCCCCAGGTTCCTACCCTGAGTTCCTACCTTGGGCTCCCGGATGAACTGTGACCTGGGAGATGTAAGCTAAATAAACCCTTTCCTCCCCAAGGTGGTATGGGTCAGAGTATTTTGTCACTGCAATGAAGAAATAAACGAGGACACCTGCCAAGTGGAACTCTGAGCACTGGCCCCTTGATCACCAATTCTTTCCAACAACTATCCCCTGTGATGCTCATCCTGAACCAGTTCTGTCTCAGTCCTGTGCCCCCAGCCCCTTGAGGGCCACCCACCTACCTCTCTCTACTAAATGGAGATCTTGGTCTGCACCCACGATGCCTACGATGCCTGGAACCCTCAGCCCCCAGCACTACCTCCCCCCTATAATCCAGGGCTGTAGCAGAGAGGCTAAGTCTGGCAGGCTTCCCCAATTTCTGCTCCCTGGGAGAGCAGCGTTGTGAGTGTGGTGAAATGGGGAATTCCCTTCTGGGACCCACTCACACTCTGCCCTCTTCCCAAGTCCCCAGCCCACCTTCCACCACGAGAAACTGGATATGGGACATGGGGAGGGGAGCCAGCCACAGAAGAATCCTTTTCTGTGGCATTAGAAGGAGGACGGACAGCTGGGGTTTCCCCACCCATTCCACCCCCTTCCAAACTTCCGACAACCCCCATCAGTGTTTGAGCCTCCTTGTTACCTTTGTATCCCTTGCTGAATCCTTCCTGATGATCTGGGCAACTTTAGGAATAAACGGCAATTCTCACCAGTGTGGCTCCCCCCACCCCCCGCAAAAAAAACAGTTTTACAAATAACATAAAGGGAGCTGGAGAGATGGCTTAGCGGTTGAGAGTACTCGCTGCAGAAGACCCGGGTTCGAGTCACAGCATCCACATGTAGGTAACTCCAGTTCCAAGCCTCCAGTTCTGGCTTCCATGGACATTGCACCACGTGGGTGCACGGGTGCATTTATATACATGCAGGCAATACAGTCATACACATAAAATAAAAATAATAATTTAAATTTAAAAACATGAAGCAACATTTCTGATTGTAAAGAAAAGTTGTTGAAAATAAACCAGGTTTAATTTGGACAAGTTTTCTTTATTTTTAAACAGATTTATTTTTAAAATAACGAAACTTTTCTCTCCATACAAAAATAGTAATAGGTTGAAAATTTATCATTTACTTAGAAGTAGATACACTATGTGAAATATTTATTTTACTGATTTGAAAGTACATAGTTTATCTCAGAAAGAAAAAGTTGTTTTTCAAAAGTCTCTTATTTCTGGAGTTGGTTCATATTTATTAGGTAGCTGCAAACCAGAGTGTGTACACATTTACATGAATGACGGAATTATTCTTCACTGTGATGCGAGTGCTCACTTCCCATGTTTGCGCTCTGTGACACCTAAGTTGTAGCGCTGAAATCGTTTCAAATTATTTATTTATTTCAATTATTTTACTTATCATGTGTGTAAGCGCAAGCACACATATCATCCGCACATGTAAGGAGGTCAAAGGACCCCTCTCAGGAGACTGCTCTCTCCTGCCATCTTGTGGGAACACAGGATCAAACCCAAGAAATCCAGTGTACCTGCCAACACCTCTGTCACCGAACCATTTCATTTCACTGGCTCTAAATTTCTTTTTTGTAAAAGCCTGAAAACATTCATTTGTGTGGGAAATAATAACAGGGTGGTGGCAAATAGGGGAGGGGAGCTAAATGCAATAAAAATATATTGTATGAAAATCTCAACTTTATTTTTAAATTTTCTGAAGAATACTGAACTAAGCAATGTACTTTCTATTTTCAGATACAGATAGTAAAATGTTGGCATATATGCATATATATATATATGGGGGGAGTTGAGAGAGGGAATTCTCATCAATGTGAGGACCATGGGTTCAACTTTGTCTTTAGTGATTTACTTTCATGTGTGCACATATCTGTGTATAGAATTGCCCTGTTTCCCTTTTTGTCTCCAAATATGAATAATGATAGTTTTCACAGTGACTCAGAAGACTCATGGAAGAAAAGTTTTTCCAGTGGCAGGGTAGTATGTTTAGAGTAGCAAGTTGTAGTTGGGCTATATCTTGTAAGTAATGTAGACTCCCAAATATAGGTCCATGTCTAGAAAAGATTTAAACACTCCACAGACTAGCCTTATACACTTAAACATTAGCATTAACAAAATCTAACCTATGCAATGCTTCAGAAAACTCATCCCTGATCAGAATTTAGGGCCTTATAACACCTTATGTAACCTCCGGCTAATCTCCTTTGTCTTGATGGAATAGATGATGGGGTTGAACATTGGAGGCATGAAGATATAGACCAGGGATGTGAACTTATGTACATACTCTGGGGCATGCTTCACACATTGGTGGACCATTGACACACTAATCATGGGCACATAGAAGATGAGCACAGCACAGATATGGGGCACACATGTGTTAAGTGTCTTAAGCCTCTCCTCTCTGGAGGCAATGGCCAGCCCAGAGTCAAAGAATGAGCACATAGGAGAGAAGGATAAGCCCTGAATATACACCAAAGGCAGAGACAATAATGAAAAGTGCATACATGCTGTAGATGGTGGTATCTCCACAGGGCAGGCAGATCAGGTCTGGGTATAAGCAGTAGGAATGGGTCAGAACATTCACTTTGCAAAAAGGCAGCCTCTTCAGGAGGAAAGGAAGTGGGAACACCACGCAGAAGCTGCAGATGATGGATATGCCCAAATGGGCCACGAGAGCATCAGTGAGCACTGAGGAATACTGCAAAGGGTCACAGATGGCCACGTCGCGGTCAAAACTCATAGCCAGTAGGATTCCAGACTTTGTCCAGGAGAAAAAATGGATGAAGAACATCTGGGCCAGGCAAGCATCAAAGACAGTCTCTGGGACATGAAAACACATGGAAACTAGCACAGTGGACAGTGTGGAAAAGGACACCCCCAGGCCATTGATGGATAGTAAAGACAGAAAGTAGTACATGGGCTTGTGCAAGCTCTGTTCCTCGTTTATGATGAAGAGAATCAGGGTGTTGCCTACAATGGTGATAACATGAAGGAGCAGCAGGAGGACAGTCAGCCAGTGCTCCAGACTCTCCATCTCGGGGAAGCCAGTTAGTATGAAGCTGCTGGTACCTGAGGTGTTAGTTGGGAAGCTCTTCATGAGGGTTGGTGATTGGCTAGGTTAGAGAAATACACCAGAGTAAAGTGAGGTTGGGCAGTGGAAAAGGGGAAGAGCAGTCATAAGAGTCTCAGGATAGAAAGGAAATGATGCTTAGATTCCTACACCCAAGACCACAGATCGATCTGGAAAGACCAGATTGTATTTCAGACCTGCTGACTGGCAGCGTCCCCAGCTGTGTCATGGGCTCTTCCTCGTTCCCCACAGAGCTCCTCGGCTACCTTTCTGACAGTATCCCTTACTGTCCTTATTGTTCTTGTGCCACATTTTATGAAATTTAAATCTCTTTGTGATGACAGAAATAATTTTCCCTTCATTTCCTCTGGTTCTTAATCATCAACTTCAATAAGTGTGGGATGATAAATCATCAAAGAAGTCGATTGGTAGCAATCTCCACTTGTGATTTATTCTCTTCCCTGCAAGTACGGACACTTTCTGACTAGTCTAAGCTGCCACTCTTCTTCCTTCTGCACTCAAGTCCCATCCCAGTTCCTCATCTTCTTCTTGCTCTAGCCCCTCTTAGTTCAACAATCTCTCTCCCTCCACTTCTGACTGCTTTTTGGCTTTGCTTAGATCAAATGTTCTCAAGTTGCACCGTATGTTAGAATGACTTGAGGGACTTAAAAAAAGATGTTACTCAGGCCACACACATAGCAATTAAATCTGAAACTCTGAAGGAAAGACCTGGGGATCCACATTTCTGTTTCTTGGTGTTCCAGGCACTTCCAATAGACAGTTAAGCTTGAGAATCAGTTTACACTGTTCCTCTCTACATCCACATATGTTTTGCCCACCAATAACTTCTTCACCACTGAAGTTCAACTTCTAAGAGCTATAATCATGGAATACAAATAGTTATTGATTATTCTTCTGTATCTCTCTAGTAATCACCCATTTCTCTCTTTCCCTTCACAACTGCTGTTTTTAAAATTATTTTTCTTATAATTTCCTCCTAAGTTCTCTTCTGTAGCATTAATAATCCTAAATTTATGGCTGCAGTCAGGGCTCTCGATCCAGCCACTGATCTGTGCATCAATTACAAATCAATTGGAATAATTGTTGGTATGGTAGACGTGGCATAGCAAAGTTTATCTTTTTGCCTGTCACCATACTTGCTATATTTTTATATTTGCCACCTTGTTAAATTCCTTGTCCATCTATGCATATGTTCAAGTAGAAAAATCTAGAAGATATCCTTGACCCGCTCTCACCCTCTCCTGTTCACAGATCTAACTTAGCAACTGTTGGTTTTCTAATATACACCTAGCTTTCCTTCTCATTTCTCTTCTCCATTTTAATCCACTGGCAAACTATCCCTTGGAATCCTAAAGAATGATGACAGACTTTTAAGGAGCACTAGCTTAGTACCTTTCCACCCTCTAGTCCATGTTACACAAAGAAATGATATTACACTCCTACTGAAAATCTTTCAGGAGTGGGTGGTAGAGAAAATAGCAATCCACGAGGGGTAGTGTTTATCAATATTATATAGAAATGAAATGAATTTCAGAAAAGAAATTCCTGTTCAAACTCTCTGCAATAAAACTTTGCAGTACTTTCTCCAACTCTAATATAAGTAAATTGGTTTTACCTCTCAGTACTCCCTAGAAATATACCAAACTTACATGTATCATCAGAAATTTACCTCCCTACCCAAGGGCAATTAATAGGCAGGAGGAGATGAACATATTATAGTAACAATACATTTTACAATGAAGTGATATCTGTCATATTTAGTTTTGGATAATCTTAATAAAAGAAACAAAGCTGTAGTTTGGCAAGCGTTAAACTAAACCTAATGTATTCATGTCTCATTTTTAACAAACAATTCACTTCTGAGACAACTTAACTACATGGCAAAATATAGGCAATAGAATCAAATACTTATAAGTTGTATCCATTATTATTTTAGGAAAGAATATACACATTTAATTTCTTACTATTAGGTGGACCAAAGCATAAGAAAATACAAATAAACAAATAATTCAGGGGAAACTCCCAATGATGCCTTTCTTTAAAATACACACATGAATGCAAATACTGTATGCAATAAATAATAATAATAATAATTGTCCTAAGAATTAGTTCTCAGTTTCTTGTATATATTATTAATCCAATATCTGCTTCTCTGGATGAAATACTTAGATTGCATAAAGTGCTAACACTGTGTTCATGAAAGAAAGTTTTTATAGGCAAGTTTAAAAAAAAAGAAAATCAGTATTTTTCTCTACTATTTATTTATTTAGGCTTTTTTTTGTTCTGCTTTGGTTTTTGTTTTGAGACAGGCCTAGCTGGCCTTGAACTCATGGGATTCCTCCTGCCACAGCCTCCAGAGTGTTGAGATTTCTTGTTTCTTCCCTTACATTTTTTTTGCAATTTTATTTTTTTAAGAATTTCTTCATGAGCACTGTATTTCTATCATTTCTGCTTTTTCCTCTTCTCCTTCCAACACTCTCATTGCTCCCCTCGGTGAAAAAATTAGTAGGCGCTCAGACCCTTAACATGGCATATGGCCACAGCACCAACACTGGTAACTAGGAATTTGCCATCTTCTGAGTATAATAATTATATGCTACTTACCATGCTAGTATATTTCTGCTATATCTCCGTACACATATTTTCTTATTGGTGTATATTCATTGCACATAGTGTTGGGCTTCATAAAGATAATTCTTTCAAATATATCATCTACTTTGACCATACTCAGCCCAGTCCCACTTTCTCCCCAGCCTAGTCCTGCTTTCTCCCTTAATCCCCTCTCTTACTGATCTCCTTGCTTCCCCTGGCCTCCCCTCTGATTTCTTATCACGTGAATAATATAAATGTCTTATGTTTCTGTAAAGAATTCTAGGTCTTGCAAATAAGAGACAATGTGACATTTGTCTTTTGCTTAACAGGATTATCTCCATTATACCTATTTTTCTGTAATGATAGAATTCCATCCTCTGTAGCTAAATAAACCTTCATTGCATGTATATGGCACTTTCTTTTATCCACTCATCTACTGAAAGACTCCTAAGCTGATTCTACAACTCAACTATAGCCTTACACATCATCATTTCTATCACTGGTAATTATAGTAACATATGTTTGGTTATTTGATTAGTAACTTTCTTTCTTAACAAATTATGAGCTCCTTAATTGTATTTCTTCTCATTTAAAAATTTTTGTGATGTAATTATTGATCTATTTAGTGCAGGAGGTGCACAGGGCACAGTGCCTGTGGAAGTCTGAGGACAACTTGCTGGAGTTCGTTCTCTCCTTTCAACATTTGGGTCCCAGGGATTGAACTCAGATCATCAGTCTTAGCGTAGGTGCCTTTACCTGCTGAGCTATCTCACTTACCCCATTGTTCTCCTTTTATCCTCAATGCTTATGCAAGTAACTTGGCATATAAAGCCTGAGACTACGACTCAAAGATTACATATTGTAGTTTTAATTCTTTATAAATTGATAAACTTTTAAAAATAAGATATTAATGCCTACACTTTAAGTATAAAATCATTGAAAGTAAAATAATTTCCCTAATACCTGAGTTTGAGCTCACATTTCCAATACACCAACTATAAATTTAACTTCCTAATTCTTTATTTTCACATTTATAGAGGAGAAAAATTAATACTGAGTAAAATACTTAAGGTGCACATTTTGGGTCACCAGTGCAAGACATGTACTAAATGAATTACACCCAAGAAAGACACAATGAAAATAAATCAGACTCAGAAAGGCAATGATCACATTTTCTTTCATTTGTGAAGTTTATATTTTACATAGATATAAATTATATATGTATATAGGACATTAAACTAGAAGTGAGTCAGAAAGAATGAGAATAACTGGATGGGGGAGGGGAGAGAAAAGGAGAAAGGAGAGGGGGGTTCATCAATACGTTTATGATATACTTCTATGCAAATATCTTTATGAAACTCATCTCTGTATACAATGAATATTCACCAACAAAAAAGTATTAATGAGAGCGTGAAATATTATATATACTTAGCTGAGCCTGTGGCACTAGGAACCAGAGCATGTTTTTCCTACAGCATTAAATAATATCACAAAATGCATAATGTCAAAAACTAGAGTGAGCACCTCTCTGAAAAAAACAGTGTCAACAAGCAGTAAAACAGTCCGCAGTACATCTGTCTATTGTCTATTTGTACATTGAATATATACCACCAGCAAACTGAAAATGGGAAAAATGAGAAAAAAGCTGTATTATCTCCTTTTATTCTCTGTTTAAAATCAAACGGAAAATAAACGTTATTTCTGTTGTACACTAGCATCTTCAAAAACATCATTTGTAAAGCAGAATGATGGAGAATAAAACTGTTTTCACAGGACCCAAACACAGTTCATGACTCATGCAGCTTTCTGGTGGTGCTCAGGAGGACACTTCAGTTTCACCGGCAAATTCAATGCTATAACTTCTTTAAAGTCTCAAAATATTAGCCTTTAAAACTAGACGTCATCAACCACGACATTGCATGGCCACAAATTCAAGTTCAGCAAAAAGAAAGTGACAAAAATTTCATCCTGTTGTCCTGTTGTCTCTAAGAACTTCCTTTCAGGCTCTCAAGAAATACTTGTGGAAAGAGTAGATGAACTTCTATTGTGCCCTAGTGTCCTGAGGTCTCTAGCCTAAACGAAGACCATCAGTGCTAAACATGCTAGGCTATAGAAGTGAATGAAGAGAGGGCAAGAACTGTCAGTGTTCTCACACTCACCGTCTCATTCACATGAATCTTGGAATTGGGTGTCTGTACTGGCTTGCTTCCTACTCCTCTGCTTACTAGATATTTTATCCTGAACAAATTGTGCATCTATTCTGCCCCTCAGTGACTACCTACGTTAACAGGAATGATAATTTTACCTACATCATAGGCTTGTTGATAAGATAAATGCATAATAAAATAACCTTTTCAACTTTAACTAGAACATAGGAAAAGTCATTGAAAAGTAGAGGAGATACTGGTCAAAAGGTATAAAGTTTCATTTGTATGCAATGACTAAGTCCTATAGATCTGTATAACATATAGATATAGCTATAACTGTATAGCTGCCTATAGCTAACAATACCCCTTGGAGACTTAAACTTTTCTAAGAGAAAAGATCTTTTAATCTCCTGGAGCTGAAGATACATCCCACGGCCTTTGCCATGCTAAGCAAGTTCTTTACCACTGATTCACATTACTAGGGTAGAACTCTAAATAATAAATTGATGGGAGGAACTCTTAGAGGTTCTAGTATGTTTATGAAGTGTATTGTGGTGGTGGTATCATGGCTGAAACAGCTTCAAACTCATTAAATTCTACAAATCAAATATACACTAACCACATCTCGATAGAATGTTTTTTTTCAAAAAAGAAAAATTTTAGCATTGTTTTGAATCTGAAAAAGTGAACATCACGGGTTTCAAAGGCCTTAACTACTTAGAGAAGATTAAAATATCTGCAAAAATCTGACATCTGGTATTAGTACTAACATCAATAATATCATACATAAAATGGTCTGCTACTTTATTTCAAATGACTTGTCTGTTATTTTGCTTTGACCATAGCTAGCACTGGCTTGAAGGTAATCCAAGATATGCAGGGAGGAAGTGTGGTGTGTTCCTGATGTGTACTGAACTCCATGAGCCCCAAGGGAAAAGGCTCCTAGACACCTCTGGGTAGAGTTTGGGGCTACCACAGTGCTTGCAAACATCTGGAAGGGAATGGCTATAGCAAAAAAGACAAGAAAAGAGGTGTTCTTGGGAAACACCTCAGTGGAAACCAGCAGGAGTGGATGCTCAGATCTCTCTCTCTCTCTCTCTCTCTCTCTCTCCCTTAATTTATCATATCATTTCAGGCACAGTATATATGCATTATTCAAAATTTGAGAATACAGATTGTAGATAATTAGATATTACACTTGACCAAATCTCTCTAAAAAGAAATTGATAATAATAAAACTATTAATCAAAGGCTGGAGAGCTGGCCTAGGGGTTAAGAGTACTGATGCTCTTGTAGTTGACCCAGGTTCAGTTCCCAGCACCCATATGGCCTAACAGAGTTCCATAACTCCAGTTCCGGGGATCCAATGCTCTCTTCTGACCACTGTGGGCTCTGTATGCACATGGTACACTTATATGTACATAGGCAAATGTATTAGTCACTTTTCTGTTGCTGTGATAGAAACACTGACCCAAGCAATTTATAGAAGGAAGGGTTTATTTGACCTTATAGTTCCAGGGGAATTATAGTCCATCATGGCAGGGAGGCATGGTGACTGGAGGTGGCTGGAGCAGGAAAACTCTCACATCATCACGCAGGCACAGGCCGCAAGAGAACAATTGAGATCTGGCAAGGCTTAAGAACTCTCTAAGCTTCCTCCAGGATAGCCACACCTTCTAAATCCTCCCAAAACAGCACCATCATCCGAGGACAAAGTGTCCAAATACTTGGAGCCTATGGGGGACATTTTCATTCAAAGTACCACAGCAAAACACTCATACACATAAAATAAAAATAAATTAAATTTTCTTAAAACTTTAAAAAAATTTCTATTAATCCTCCTAAACACTTTTCTAGAGAAATATATAAATATTTAACAATAACATTATGTATTAGTGTTTTGATTCACTGTTTGATGTTAGTTATAGATGATAAAAGGAAAGATCAAATCCCATTCAGAGTTGTTTAGCTTTACTGTTGAGTTCTGGATAAAGAAATGTGTTAAATATCTCAATATTCAGGTTTATGACAAAGATGATATTAAAACTGGTGAATGAGAATGGTTTAAAAATAAAAGCTGTTTTCCTTTTGTTTTTAAAATAAAATGCATAAAAAACTAAGAAAATATACACAAAAATCCTGTTTTTTCTAAATATTTTATTTATTATTTTTATTTCATGTGTATGAGTGCATTCCCTGTATGTATGTAAGTGCACCCATGTCATTCAATGCCCATGGAGGCCAGCAGAGTGTATCCAATTCCCCAGAAACTGGATTTATGGGCAGTTCTTAGCAATCTTGAAAATGCATAAAAAACTAAGAAAATATACACAAAAATCCTGTTTTTTCTAAATATTTTATTTATTATTTTTATTTCATGTGTATGAGTGCATTCCCTGTATGTATGTAAGTGCACCCATGTCATTCAATGCCCATGGAGGCCAGCAGAGTGTATCCAATTCCCCAGAAACTGGATTTATGGGCAGTTCTTAGCAATCTTGTATGTGTTAGGATTTGAACTCATATTCCTTGGAAGAGCAGTCACTGCTCTTAAATACTGAGCCCTCTCTCCAGCTCCAGAAAACAACCCCTCAGCCTGCATTTTTTCCATTTCAATTAAATCTACTATTATATACATTAATCTCTCACTATTTTACTTATTAATATGCTAAAGTACATGAAAGATTTTTGAAAAGTGAGTAGTTGTACAAATTCTAGAATATATTTTGGTCAGGCCAGATAAGGTGGCACAGGCCTGAGAACCTAGCATCAGGAGGCTGAAACAGGAAAGTCATAACCTGAGACAGGTAAACAGACTCTGCATCGATCTCTGTCCTTATCTCTCTATATATAATAAGTGTATATCTATGTGAAACATGGATAAAAACTTGTCTATATTTTTTATTGTTTCCGTACATACAGCATTATTCTGGAATTTTCATCAAAGGATGTTTTGCTGACAATATATTTTTGTGTACTGTTCATCAAGTTGTAAATTGTATGGCTTTCCAACTTTCTGTATCTTTTAAGAAGTATAACATAAGAGTAGCAATTTGTTTCTCAACATTTGAGGTAAAAGTAAGAGAAAGAAATGTTACCGTGTCTTAGAAATGGGTGACAGTGCAACTGATTCTGTGAGTTCTACAATTAACACTTAGTTTGCCATACACTGGCATTTTATTATTTTCCCAAAGTGTAAATTTAATCAAGATGTACATTTTACATTTTAAAATTCTATAATCTTGAAATTATCAACTCAATAAAATAAACACTTGCATATATATATGTATATATATACTCATGTTTTATTTTCCATTTGATTGTGATTTTCTCGAATTTGGTCTGTTTTGAAAGCTTGTTAAATGATAAATACTCTATTATTAGCTTTGTTTTGATTCCCATTAATTTTCTTTTTAAAAGTATTTTCCACTTTTACTTATTTATTTTTATTTCATATGAGTGCTTTGCCTGCATATATGTAAATGCATATGTAAGCTAGAAGAGGCATCAGATTCCCTGGAACTAAATTAAGGATGGTTGTTAGCTACCATGTAGGTGCTGGGAACCGAACCTGGATCTTCTTAAAGAACAGCCAGAGCTCTTAACTGCTCAGCCATCTCTCCAGCCCCATTTTGTAATGATATATTATTTTTAGTATATTTTTTATTTTTTAGAAGAAGCATTTCATTACAGCTTTAACATACTCAGTAACAATTTCCAGAGCAAAGATATATCTCTTTCAAAAGTGGCTATAAAATTTTTAGGTTCAAGTACATCACAGAGCACTTATTCTTCCCTAACAAACCCCCTCACAAGAGTTGTGAGATCTTACTGCTCTAATTTTTCCTTTATGCCCTCAAAACACTCTCCCAAGTCTTGAAATACTATGAACTTAGACAAAACAAATCAGTCTGTATATTTCATGGGTATTGCTACACAGAGTACCTGATTTATTATTTCCTTTATTGTTGGCCACTAACCTGTATATTATAAAGTTTATAATTTTTCAATATTAAAAGTTAGATGTTTTGGTACAATTTGTGTGGAATTGCATTTATCTCATTTTAAAGGCCAGGTGGATGGCATGTGATTGGCATGTATACCTTGTGGTGTGTGTGTGTGTGTGTGTGTGTGTGTGTGTGTGTGTGCGCGCAATTTAAACTAGTATAGCTTCGAATTAATTTGGGGGAAATTAGTGCCCATTGTACCAGTTTTAAAGACAGCAGGTAATTTCATGGGTGGCGAGTCACTTTTTAACAGTGATAGGAGCACACTGTGACAAAGTGAAGTACTGATGATATGTATTTCCAAGTTTAGAAATAGAGCCAATGTTTTTTCTAAATTATGGCCTTTTAACCTTGCCAAAAACTCTTTTGTTTCATTTTGTTTTATTTGACTCCTCCCAAGAATTGAAACTGACTTGTGTTATATAAAAGCAAAACATGCTATCACCGAAATCTGATGACAGGAATCCAAATGGTCTTCAAAAGGCAAATTTGTGAGGGTGGAAGAGATGGCTCGGTAGTTAAGACCATTGTGGCTCTTGCAGAGGACCCAGATTAGGTTCTCAGCACCCACATGGCAACAAAAAGTCCTCAGTAACGCCTGTACCAGGGGAGCCAATGCTTTCTTCTGGCCTCTGTGGGCATTACATGCATGCGGTGCACTTACATACATGCAGGCAAAAGTCATACACAGAAAATTAAAAACTAAAATTTTAATTTAAAAAATGCAAATTTGTGGAAGTGGGGGAAACACAGAGACCTTTACAGCAGTCTCCTGCTCAAAACTTGGTCCCTAGAAGGATTTTGCAAAGTCTGCGGCGAATCTCCTTGGTTTTGATGGAATAGATGACAGGGTTGAGCATTGGAGGCACAAACAGATAAACTACTGACAGGAGTGTGTGCACATACTGTGGAGCATCCCTCCCATAGCGAGCAGCCATGGACACCCCTACCATGGGCACATAGAAGATGAGCACAGCACACAGGTGTGACACACACGTGTTCAGGGTTTTCAGCCGTTCCTCCCCGGAGGCAATAGAAAGTACAGAACGAAGTATGAGCGCATAAGAGAGGAGAATGAGTGCGGAATCCAGGCCGAAGGTAGAGATGACGATGAATAGACCAAAGATATTATTAATGGCAATGTCACCACAGGGCAGGCGAATCAGATCTGGATGGAGGCAGTAGGCGTGGGACAGCACATTAGCTTTGCAGAAAGGTAACCTCTTCAGGAGGAGAGGTAGTGGGAAAACCATGCAGAAACTGCGGAGGAAAACAGACACGCCCATCCACACCACGCGAGCATCAGTGAGCACCGCGGCATAGCGCAGGGGGTTACAGATGGCCACATAGCGATCAAAGCTCATGGCCAGCAGAATCCCAGACTCCATGAAGGAAAAAAGATGGATGAAGAACATTTGGGACATGCAAGAATTGAAACCGATTTGTCTTATGTGAAAGCAAAACACAGCCAGTACCGTGGGCAGCGTGGAGAAAGACACACCCAGGTCATTCACTGACAGCACAGACAGGAAGTAGTACATAGGCTGGTGCAAACTCTGCTCCTCCTTGATGATGAAAAGGATGAAGGCATTGCCCACAATGGAGACAGTGTAGAGGGCACCGAGGAGCAGGAACAGCCAGTGCTGGGAGGTCTCCTGCCCGGGGAGGCCTGTCAAGGTGAAGGGAGGCAACCCAGAGCTGTTGTGAGATTCACCTCCCATTCTGGGACTCCTGATTTACAGCTTCAGCTTATCCTGTAAAGAATAGAAATGTATAGCTCATGCATGGCTTTCTCCAATGGAATCTGATTCTTCATCTACCACCCAGTACCTCATTTTAGAGCACCAGTCACAGTCAGCCTCATCACTGCCTCCCTCAACCTTGCCCCCAAATTTTTGAAATCTTTGAGTTGTCTGTATGAATTCATCTGGGAAGACAAACATTTTTCCCTCCTTTTATATTTTATCTATAATTACTTTTATTTTTAATGTAAGAGTGGGAGCTTCCTCCTGGACTCAGTTTTACAGGTTATTAATTGTTTGGTGAGACCAGTAGGGATACTTATTATCTAATTTGATTTCAAGTCTTCAATGGTCATCTGATCAAAAGGAAACATATTCTTCATTTTCCCAAGCTGCTACTCACAGACCTGGATCCTGATCTTTGATTCGGACTCCAGCTCAGCACAATTTTTCACATCTGCCTTTTCCTCAGCATCCACCAAGACAGTATATTTTTCCTCTGGCACTGAAATTGTCAGGGCATTAAACTTCTTTTCAAATCATCCAGCAAGCCTGCCTTGCCCATGTTGGCCTTGTATAAGTCCAGTTGATCATTGGTGGTTTCTTAGAACGGTCAACCTGGAGTTGACAGTTCTGTGCCAAGACTTTATCGAGTTTGCAACAGTCTTTTGTTTTTGTTTTTGTTTTACTTCAGGGAATCATCGCCCCCCAAATTACCCAATCAGTAGGTTTTAGAGCAAGTTAATGCCCAGTCATCTTAGGATCCTTAGGTGCACAGCAAGTCCCTCCTTTTCTTTACCCTTTTTTCTTGCTTTTAAAGCTGTATTCTCTTCTCTTTATCAATATATCAGTATCAGTGTTTTCACAGCCTAAGATAAAACTCCCTTGATGTTTACTTGTTCAATCACTATGCCCCATTTTGACACAAAACACTTAATAGATCACAACTTTTTCCTACTTCTAAAGTCATGTTACTGAGCTTGCACTGTCCAGCATCCAGGCTCCCTAGCCTTACTGAGTCTCCTATTTCTTCCCTCCATTCACACAGGTGGAGATAAATGACCAGAAAATCACATGTCCAGTCAGGGAGTGATGGTTCATAAGTGTTTTAGCCCTTCAGAGGCTGAGGCTGGGGAACTGTGAGTTCTAGGCTGCAAAAGATTCCCTGTCTTTGAAAAAAAAAAAGTCCATTCACAGAAATAATTTCTCAGGCGTCCTCCAAGTTGTGCCAAATATGAAAGTGGACGTCCATGCTTCCTTCTAACCTCTTTCTCATTCTTCTGCCATTCATCTCATGGAATCGTTTTTCTCTCTGAATAATTTGGTTTGCCAAAAATAGTTGATTAACAATTTCATAATCAAGTTCTGCTTAGTACCTGAAAGCCATGAAAATGATTATCATTTATCTAAACCACAAATGTCTTTCACCAATGTTCTCTTTTGAAAGATATCATGATTGTGCCCAAGACTGAGACTCAAACCCTCCCAGAATTCCTGGATGCCCTCTGTTCTTTCGTATACTACATTACTACATTACTGATCCCGTGTGCCTCTGCCAGCACCTGTCGCTGCAGCCCCCACCTCAGACCCAAGACAATGCATGGCCATTCCATTGCCTCTAGATGAGTCTTTTGCATTTGTATAATTCCACTCTAATCTGAAAGAAAATATATTCAAAAGAATATATGAAAATCCATTTCTTCTGAGTTAAAAATCGTACATGATCCATCATTACATAACTAAATTCAAGCTTATTCACCTACAAATAAAGTCTTCTATATCAGTGTTTGGTATTTCTAGCAGCAGCACTCAAAATTCTGTTCCTAGTTTCTCCAAGTGCCCAGTGGGTTTGCTGTTGTCCAAATTTCCCTGCACCTCACAGGTTCCCAGTGGCTTCCCTGATTACATGAACAGAACCGTCCAAATCATTTTCCAGAGTGAACTGAGCACACGGGCAAGCAGTATGTGATTTTCCAAATATGGAACCTAGTTTTTTTAATGAGAACTAACTAAAAGTAGAAGAAGAACTAATAGGGAAGGGAAAGGAGAACTAAAGGAGGAGAAGGAGGGAAGGTTTAGAGAGAGTGGACAGAAAAAGAGCACAAGAGCTGTATATTAGGGTAAAACATTGATAAACCCATTAATCTGTATAACAAATCAGAAGTAATTATAAAAACATTTTAAAACTTCCCATCAACCAAGGGAACTTGATTTATTAAGATAAGCAGGGGCAACTTCCCCCTTTCCCTCGTAGTTTGTGACCACCCTTCTGGACGCCCTTTAATCCAGCATTGTGAATCTTAACGTCTCTGCAGCTCTCTGACCAGGACCAAGAACTCACACCTACCTTGTTCACGATTTCACTCCCTGCTGAGCTGTTCTCACTGCAGGACCAAGAGAGGTACCTAGGAAATCACTTGTGCTCTCAGGTTTTCATTCCCATGTTGTAAGTTGGAAAGGCTGTACATTTACCTAAAAACGTAGTGAAAAGCCAAAATTGAACACTTGTGAAAACGATTTGAGTCAAAGCTATTGCTAGCCTGAATTCTAAAGCCTGTCCATAGTCTTCATCATTTTATCAAGCTTACATCCTCCATCTGCACTCAGGACTCCTCTGTCCTTCCTTATAAGACGTACACATCTTAGAAGTTACAAATCACAGTTGCGATCCTTTAGTATGCCTACGTTTTTCTTACCTGAAAGTTTTTCCTACTCCTTTAATTTCCCTCTACACTACAAACAGAACCCAATAAATTTTAATCTTTAAGTTTTAAGTATGATTCAAACAAGTGCTTTCTTTTCTTTTTTTGTCGATTGTTTTTTATTTTCATTTGTGTGTGTGTGTGTGTGTGTGTGTGTGTGTGTGTGTGTGTGTGTATGTTGCCTGCATGTATGTAAGTGCACCCGTGCTTTCAATGCCTGTGGAGGTCAGAAGGTGTCAGATCCGCTGGAACTGGAATTACAGACAGTTGTTAGCTGCCATGTGGGTGCTGGGAATTGAACCTGGGGAGCAGTCAGTGCTCTTAACTGCTGAGCCATCTCTCCAGCCCAAACAAGTGCTTTCTAAAAGAGCCAAGATCTTGTATTTACATCCCCACTATGTTTTTCTAAGGACATGGGTGGTGTTCACAAGTCCTTTATGTCCAAAATGTACATGTAATAGTCATTCTGAGAAAATTATATCTGAAGCAGAAAGCAGATTGGAATTTCAGAGACCAAGAGTAACAGAAAGTATAGAAACAGGAAAGCCTACAGAAATGATAAAGAAAAAGAAAAGAATCAGGCAGCAGCAGGCTTTCCTTCCACAGACTGTACTGTTCCTCACCTATCTGAGCGTCACATTCACGGACCGTGTATAGAAAGAAAGAGTAGAACTGGGGACCACACATGCCCTACCCATGGCACCTATGCCTCTCTATCTCTGTCCTGAGCTCTATATGGCTATTCCTGGCACATCTCTCAGGCTATTACCAGCTCAGAGGCACAGGACTTGTGGGAATACAGAGCTTCAGCAGAGTCCCATGCCTCCTGGACTTAGCATTTCATCTCTCATGAGATTATGCCACATATGGATATGATCATAACTAAAAGAGACCTGTAAGTGTGTTGTGTCTAACCTCTGACACCAGGAATATGGGCAGCTTGGTAGTGGCAGAATACTGAAGCCCAAGTCTATGCCATTTCCGCGGTATATGCCTATCAATATCCACCAAAAATGCTAAATCCTATCAGTAGAACTAAATCCCACATAAATGTGAACATTTGATTTAATTAGCACATGAAATTCACACTTGGACCATCAGTGAAGTTCTGAGCCCCGAGGAGAAACACTACTGCACCCTGGCTGATAATTCACAGGATGTGAAAACAGATATTACTGAAAATACTACACTTATTAACAGGTGTGGAGGACATATCATTGTTCTATTTTCTTTTTAAGTAGTTATGGAATACCTGCTAGAGAGATATTAGAGATACAGGGATTCATACATGAAGACATTAGTTTAACTTGAATTTCAGTCTAAATTTGACTCCTTACATGAGAAAGTGTCTATCATATGCACAGATTCATTTTTCAACTCTAAATAAGTAGACTCATATATCATAAAATAATCAAGATGATTAAAGCAGAAAACACATAAATGCATTGTGCCTACTGTCTGACACAGAGCACTCAGTGGGGTGTACAGCTCTGTTTAAGTTCAGAACACTCAGCTATTACAGTGATAAGAGGTGCACACTGAACGAAGTGCACGGAATGCATTGAACAGTTTCCCTTTGAAGAAACACAAACCTCTCACATACCCAGTGTTCCTCCAAGAACTGCCAGAATGAAAATGCAGTAGCGTTTCAAGAATTCCACTTAAAACAAAGGATTCAGTGCACCACCCAGTCAACACTTAGCTCTTCCACAGTCACGTTGACTATCATGTGAAGAAGGCAGGAAATCACTCGAGGCCTGCTCAACACACAGGGATTTATCAGAACAGGGTCTGTTGTTTCTTTGTCAAAATCTTCTTTCCATTTTCCCATACTAAGAAAATTTTACATTGTGACAAATTTACAATCTTCAACCTCAAGGTCTATGTTAAAATGTTCATGTTAACACCATTAGTAAGAATCAAGATAATCTTTCAATGCTAAATAGTATTTTATTCATAGGAAACTATAGTGAATTGAGTCATGATTTCACTTAGAAAATGGCTAAGAAAACGTAATAATTCGATGAATGTGAAGATAAGAGAAATGGGAATTTGGGGGGGAGAATAGAGGACTAGAATTTCCAACACTCTTGAAGAGCCAGAGATTTACAACTACCTGCAGTAGTGCCCTTGACTCTCAAAGAATAAGCTAATTTTGAAGTAAAAATGATGGTCAGAATGTCTCTTAAAACACGTAGGTCTTTTGAAACTACAAATACGCCATGATTCATACTAAAAAATAATTTGTGGCGTGTAACTACGATTAAGCAGTTTAAC